GCAGCAAAGGGGGCGAGGCCATGCTGCACTGCTTTAGAGAAGAGGAAGAGAAAACTAGGGGTGCACGTAAAAATCTATTCATATATGAATCGTGATTCTGTCTTCTAACGATTCTAATGGATTCACAAGTTTCAAAATCAATGTTCTAAAGCAGCGGTTCTAATCCTGTTCCTCGCATTGACCTGCTCTGCACACGCTCTGCGTCTCTCTCTCACTCTCTCTCTCTCATTCAGATCATCAGCTCAGCTCCAACAATGATTTGTTCCATTTATACACTTATTTTCACATAGCTATGAGAAGCGTTATACATGGACGCGCGTGCGGTTGCCATACTGTATTAAAGCTTTAATCAGTATAAAACCGTATATTAAAGGTAGAAGCAGTAGCATTTACAAATAACAGCATATCTAGAAGTATGAGATAACAACAAACAAAAAACATACCATTAAGAGCCGTGCTTGCATGGGTTCTGTGTGATTCTCTTCACTAATATCCTCTGCGTCTCAATCGGGCTCAAACTGATAAGCAATATTGACGACGCCATTGTTTACAATACAACCAGAGCACATGCCGCTGAGGTGAGGGGCGGGACATTCAGACGCGCACTAGAGGCGGTTTAGCCAATCACAACACACTGGACTAGCTAACCAATCAGAGCCCATCGCCTATTTCTGAGGGAGGGGATTCATAAAACCAGGAAATAATCAGCGTGTTTATGGGAGAAGGTAAATTATGTGAAAAATAATGCGTTTTTTTTTTTTTAACGAAGCATTAACACATGTTAGACTGCACCCCATAAACACAATCAAGCCTAGAAAAAAAACAGTCAACCACCCCTTTAAATAGCTATAGATAGTACTGCCTGCAATAGAGCAAAAACATCTTGTTCTTGTAGTCATCAAGATTGCTGCATCACTACTGACTTTCGATGGTGTGAGCATTGATGTGTTTCCCAACGTTCTATCCAGTGGTGAACCTTAAGAAGAGTATTTTAGTGATTCAGTAACTTTTAAATGCTTTTCAAACGCTTCTGTGCATATTGCTTTCCGTGAACAGTGATATGCAATGGCCAATCAGAGGTGTTTAAGTCAGAATCCACTCAGTTTTTACTTGACCTTTTTAAAGCGATACTTAATTACTTACTTGAAGGATACATGCCAGTATTTTCTTTAATATTATTATTATTAGCATAAATAATGAACTGATTTAATTTATTTTCATGTTCAGATAGTTTAATAAAATAATTAAATACTTTTTTTTCTATGGTACTGAAATTGGTTCTGAAAATCATTTGTTGTAATGTATAATTAAGAGCTCATATTAATGAGCTGATTTTGTTAAAGTCGTAGCCATAAACTGTAGGCTATGTTTTTACAGACTTCTGGAGAGAGGGATATATTACTTTAGGGCAGTGGTTCTCAACCCGCGGGCCGCATGCGGCCCGTCACGAATTCAAATGCGGCCCACCATGCTGAACACAATTTAAAAAAATTACTTTCAGTTTTACAATTCATTTTAGTTTTTACATTAATTCATTTTTTTTCAGTGGATACGCTGTCATTTTTGCTCATAAAGGTAAGAGTAATGCATCATTCGTTACTGTAAAGGGTCTACTTTTATTTGTGTGCACTCACAATATCAACAAAACGTTGTGGTTTTATAAAATAAAGAAAACAAACATGATGCGCTTTCTGCCGTCTCGTCTTGAACAGGAGCGCTTCATGTTAATGAACCGAAACTCAGCGAATACATGCCTCACAGACATGATAAATATATCTATAGAAAGTTTTAAATTACTACTTAACGAAATAAAACAAATCAAAAACAAAAACTCTTTCATTATAATCATAATCCGTAAAGATGCACTTCTCTCTAAAGGCGCTTTTTTTACTCTTTGTACAGCAGTTATTGTTCATTCTAAATACATTTTATAATGTAGAATACGTGTTACATAAATACATGAAATGTAGAAGATATAAAAAAGTGCTCGTGGCTCGTCTGCCAGTGGGTGCCCCCCCACGTATAAAAGTGAAACTCCGCCTATGATTGTGCTGTTACTCCTTTCGAGCCGAAGTTCACAAAATTGGGTGTTATTTATGGGGAGTAGAATTATTTATTTATTTCAATGAATGTAATCGATTAGATATCATAATATTTAGGCTATAATAATATAAATCAGGTTGGTTTGTACTGCTGACATATGTAAATGATATGCGTGCGGCCCGCGAGACTTGCACTTGGACCATAGTGCGGCCCGGTAGAAAAAAAGGTTGAAAACCACTGGGCTAAGGGGTAGAATTGGGATTGGGCCTTAGTGTGCTAAATCTCAAACTCTTTCTTTCTCTCAGCCTCTCTTTGCTTGAACTCAGAATCTAGAGGGTACGTTCTGTGATCTGAAAAAGAATTGCTTGGTTTCTCCACTGATAATTTGTGTTATGAGACATGCAGAATCTGAGCTGAACTGAGGCTGATCTGACAGGTCTCTGTGGACCAAGGTGTATAGATCAGTTTCAGGTGAAAATGTCACAGAACATTGCTCTGTTTTTTCTCATTAGGGTCTCATTCACTATCTGTGCTCATGTATAAATTGGGTTGCATAGAAATTTGGGAGGGGGGGGGGGGGGGATGCAACAATTTCTTTATGCTAATAACTTTTGAACCAAAAGGCACAAAATGAAAATTATTTTTTCCTCTGAATCCTTGGGTCATGCCGAGTCGAATGAACACCAAAAATCGCAAGGTTTAGCTTTTTCGCTGTTTTTAATTGTTCGTAAAACTTACTTTGTCGAACTCATCCTAGATGGTTTGTCTGATTCTCACCAAAATTGGCTCAGATCATCTTCAGACCATGCTGGCAAAAAGTTATGGAATTCAAGTTGATTCGTTCCACTGTTCTCGAATAACGCATGGAGAAATTCTACGAAAAGCACGTAAAAATGGATGTGAGGCTCTATCTCCGCAACGGTTTGGCGTAGTGAGACCAAACTTGGTGTGTGCTATAACAAGCACAACCTGAGACGACCTGCAGTGTTTCGGCGCAGTGCCCCCTAGTGGTCAGGAGATATGAAAAATGCATATTTTTGCTTATAACTTCTGAATGGTTTGGCCAAAATTCACACA